TCTTCCGATTCTTCTTCTTAACTATCTTCCCAACAGATTGACTATTCGATGACGATGAAGCTCCAATCCAATCACTTTTCGGTCTCCCCTTATTTATCTCAGTTCCAAGCCATTCCATCACATAATCCTTCACTCCACCATTCTCCGCCGTAGTGCCACCTTTTTCTTGCTTCAACGACCAATCCTTTCGAGACTCGCTCTGTATCCCTCCCCCGTTATTTTCCCCCCCATTAACCAATTCTTTCCCACCCTCTATACTACCCACATCCAAATTCCCCTCGAGCAAAACCCCCACACCACCAGTCTCTGGAGAAGCACTCACAGCCTCCAAAGTTTCGGGCGATGTCATACAAACCGGCAACTGATCCAACACCAAATTAAACTCATCAAACCCAGTAGTCACACTGTCAGTCTCCTCCACCACAGATCCATAATCCTCACCCCCGTTATTACTCTCCAATTCAACCTTTTTCAACTCCACCTCACCATTTATTTTATCACTCTCTTCCACCTTAACCTCACACTGACCCTGATTGCACTGATTCTGGTCATTCTGATTGCTATTGTCAATTTTTAACCAAGCTAATCCAAAATCAGCAACTTTCGCATTAAAACACTGATCAAGCAAAATATTACTAGGCTTAATATCTCCATGAATAACAGGAGGATCCAAACTATGAAGATACTCGATCCCTTTAGCAATATCAACGGCAATGCTAAATCTTTTCTTCCAATCAACCAACTCCGCACATTTTCTATGAAGCAATGCATCCTGCAAGTTCCCATTTTGCATAAGCTCATACACTATCAACAAACTACGATGCTTCCTATCATAGGAAAAACCAAGGGCTGTAACAATATAACAAGAATCAAGCTTTGAAGCAAAAAGCAACTCATTTTGGAACTCTCTTTCCCCTTGGAGAGAGCCCGAGTCCATAACTTTAACAGCAACGTTGAGCTCATTAGGAAGAGTCCCATGATAAACTGAGCCAAACCCGCCTTGGCCTAAGCGAAGAGAAGGGGAAAACTTGTTGGTGGCCCGGCGGAGAGTGGTGTAGGAGAAACGGTGAGGGGGTTTGGAGAAGTCAGTGGGGACAGTGCGCTTACGAGTGAGTTTGCGGAAGCAGATGACGAAGAGGAGGAGGAAAGAGAAAGCAGCAGTGGAGGCGGCGGCTAGGGGAGGGATTAGGCTGGAAGAGC